ATTTTTTCTTAAATACCCATTAGTTCTTTATATTTGCCTCTAATGTTTAATAATGCAGCTTGATTTCTTAATAATATTTAATAATTACTTAACTATAATTGTATTTGAATTGCAACAATAATATTTACTTTGAAAGCCTGTGTTCAGCTGGTCTGATCCAGATGGTTGCTGAGGTCTCGACAGTGGTTTTGGAGGTAATTCTTTAGCCTGGGAGGAACAAAAATAAATGCACATAATTTTAAAGCCATGTTTTGACTTCATGAGCTTATGTGGAAACTTTTATCCTATGCACTTATTAAGGAGGCACCCTCAAAGCTCACATGTGCTCCTTTGGGCGCATGCAATTGACCTGGATGACAAGATGTAGGTGCAGATGGGGATCCTGTTACACCTGGAAGTTAACCTCACCCCGCACCCCTGACAACCTGTGCAACCAATAGCCAAGGTTGTATTTTCACAAGGACTTTATGTAAGTGAAACTGCAAAGGAAGCTTAGTAGGTTACTAAGAACCTAATATCAACAACAGAATATTCTACGGAAAGAAAGCTCCCGTGACTGCGGAGAGAAACTTAGACACCAGTCATTACCGTTGCCTTCCTCTGCTCCCGGGCTGCTTTTCTCGCGTTGATTCTTTGTGCCTCGTTTTCATACTTTTCAGTAAAGGAATCAAGAATTTCATAAAGATCTTCTGCTTGCGCAGGCTGAGGTGTATCTCCAAATAAAATGTCATAAGCTCGGATATCTTGACAATAAAATCTAATAAGGAATATAAAATTAAGAGCGTTTCTGTAATGCACGCAGGTCTCTTCTGGAGTCAAACACAGCACACGCATACACACACATGATCGCTCATGTACAGCACTTCACATGTGCCGCTTTTCAAACACTTACTACAGTCAATATCTGCACGTTCAGCTATTGAGTTTACCCTTGCAAGGTCACTTCCAGAAGCAACTAACATAAATGTTCTGACATGTATCCTTCCTCTATTAATACAAAAAGTACATCCACATATACATACAAATACTTAAACATGCACATGTACAAGGGTACTTCAAAGTACTCATAGAAAGATTCATATTATCTTTTAAGTCTATTTTTCCACAAACTTTTTGAAGTACCCTCATATATAAATATACACACATTTATATAAAACACTTATAGAAATACACAGCAAGCACGTACGTTTGTATAGGTTTTTACTTTTTAAGTTCCTTACAAAAATGGTACCTACACATATGGCTTCGTAATTTCTTTAAAATGTTTATTTTTATCAAAATTATGTAAAGATTTGCCTTACATGTTTGGAAGCCCTGCAATTCATTAAGAATTATATTTGTTTTAGTTTATCCAGAATTTAGTTGAACTTCAGTGGAAAGTCTGCCAAAGGCCTAAAAGCAAGAGTTTCTAAGAGCATTCTTGATGTTTCTGAAATTAATAAGATCAGAAGTAATATTATCAAACGTGCTGCTGAATTCTTGGGAGCACAGGCGTGGTAAGCTTGGTATAAGCTTCCATCTCTTGCAGCGGCGCCTGCGTGACTGGTAAAGCATGCGTCGACCACCAGCAGTGTCACTCTGCCAGGTTGTGATTAGTGGAGTTTCTGCCAGGTCCACAAGTGGTCCTTCAGCCAGTCCCAGCTTTTTATCATTTTCTGGGACTTCACACATACTGTAGTGGTAATTTATAAGATTTGTAAGATTTGTAATTTTTAAGAGCTGCTTTGGAAAAAATTAGCCAGATGCCATTTTAAGGTAGAAGTTTCCCTTCACCTCTTCGGATACTTCCAACACCTTTTTTTGAAAAAAATCAAACTGTATTTTTAATTGAAATTGGTCAGTTTGATATGGAGGAAAGACAGAGTCAGACTGTAGGAACAGGAAACCCCTTCCAATGAGGACCATTCTGATTAACCCACAAGTTGGGACTGGTGTTTACTCCACAAATGTTCGAAAAGTATACTTAATATGATGCACCCAGCAAAGACAGTATTACGTAGCCAGTAACTTATGCTTCCGATTACTATATTATAATGCTATGTGAAAAAAAACTGTATTTACAATTGAATGCATACTACCATCACAATCACACACGAGGACACAGCACAGCTATACTTAGAAAACGATAGAAGGCGGTGGAGCAACATGCAAACAGCGTTAGTCTTCAGGGG